AGTTGAGTAACACAAGATTCAAAATGATGAATAAATACGGAAATACTTGACACAACATTTTACATTTTTCGAAGTGCTATACAAAACAATAAGATAAAAAACAATGAAGCAAAGGGATTAAACATCTTGTCAAGTCTACTCAATGACTCAGAAGTATAGCAATTCTGGACTCCCAGGCTCAAGCATAGGACCGTAGATGGGGGGAGGGCAAGAAGTGGCTCAAAGGCCATATGCAGCTCACCACAGTTAGCCCCTTGCAGGCTGCCAGACATGCTGTATACTTAGCATATGCAGGTACAGATGCTCACATCTCCCACTGGCCAGAAATGATGAATCATAGTCAATGGGAGCTACGAGCGGCCGTACCTATGGACACTCATGTAAATAAAGTGTCTTGCGGCGCGTGCCAGGAGCTAAACCTGGCAAACTGCATCCAGGTCACAGGCCACTTATTGCCCACCGCTGCACTAAATAACAACACATGCTTTTAAACTACGAGGCCTTGATTAGATTTGGACTGTAGTTTGGCAAAACTGCTGAGTAGCAAGACAAAGAACCACCAAAGTAAAATCATGGATGGCTGCACCGGCCTTTTCTTTTCTTTTACAGCTACTACAAACATTTAAGAGGACATCACCACTTCCATGCTTCAGAACAGTTCCTTTTTTTGCATTTTAGATAAATAAATCAGATAATTATCAGGGTTGCCAGGTGTCCGGTTTGGAACCTGACAGTCCAGTATTTGAGCTTTCTGTTTGGGAAACATATTGAGAAAATATAAATGTCTGGTATTTTCTATATAAGATGTAATGTAGATTGTGATGTAATGTGTCTGGTATTTTTGTTGAAACCATTTGGCAACCCTAATGATTAGATCATTTAAGAAGGTTCTATAAAAGTACAAATTTTCTAAAAGATAAAGCAATAATATAAAAGGCAAAGAGGATATGTTTGCCTGATGATACATATAAAAACCTTCATGTTTATATTTATTTACAATAGCAATGCAACTGTGGTCTGGCCTTCTTTTCCAGAAGACTGGAGACCCAGTAGGATTATGGCCTCACAGATATCAAGTAACAATATATAAGAAACTAAGAGGGAATCTGATTTTTATTCAGTGTTTAAAATATGTATGTTGATAAAAACATATGGAATTATAATGTTATTTTTAGTGCATTTACAAGACCTACACTTTCAAAAGTAACAGTTGATTTACAGATTTGTAATTTGGGAGACTGATTTACAGATTTGTAATTTGGGAGACTGTAAAAGGGACCTCATTTTCAGAAGGCAGGTTCAAATTCAGGATCATTAAATTTGTCTGAAGTTAAACACGCGAAAACTGAGAAACCCAAAAGAGTCACTTCTGAAAACTGAGGCCTAAATATCCAATAGCCACAAAGCCTCTTTAAGTTAAGGCAGAGAAAGTTTCCACTTCAGGTCCTTCAAGGAGACATCCCACGAAAGAAGTAACATTATAAATATTTCTACAGGAGGTAGGGAAATGAACCCTGATTTTAAACACACTGTTGAGGCCTACATAATAAATAAATTAAAAAGGGCACAAACCCTTTTGTACTTTGCATGTTATTTTTATTGCGAACAGAATTATATGGTTTTGTTTAATTTAGAATTCATCAACTTTATTCATAAATTGAGAAAGAATGCCTGTATAATGTGTAAGTAAAAGAAATGTGGTTAAACTCATTGCATGTTATAAGAAACTTACTTGCAATACTTGAATCAATATTTTTAATAACACTACATATGGACATTATTAGTAAGATATCATATATTAAATAAAAATGTAACAATGAATTATGTGGGCTTTACCTCATTAATATGTTTGTATGTTTTGATCAGATCAACGGAGAGTTTCCTCAGGGGAGCAGTAGCTGGATCACGGAAAGTTTGGGGCATCCGCCTCTGTAACATGACAATATCAGGAATCACCTTAAACAGACAGAAAGAACTAGCACTTTAACTAAATAATCACTACACTACACCAACATTTCGTCTTCAGTCAAGTAAACTGCCTAAATCTAATCCTATCCACTCTGATGAATATCTAATATTTACAATCTTATGTTTAAATAAAAAATACTAATAGGCTGAATATTTTCATAGGTTTTTTAGCTAGTTGACGATACGTCCCCTTATTGTCTTTCCTCCCCCACATCTCCTTTTCTTGTCCTCTGATTTAATGTACAAGTACAATTATTGAATTTAAAACATACTTGCATTTAAAAACAAACAAAACCATAATGCATGCAGGTATACCAACATTTTAAATAATACAATGCCATAAATTCTGATATAGAATAGCAGAGTAGGTACATTTTAAAAATGCTTTATTATATTCAATGATATCATAGGAGGCTTGGAAAGCTAAACAAATTCCATTAGAAATAAGGTTTAAATTTTTACAAGTGAAAGTAATTAATCCACAAGTCTCAAACTGACAGCCCATGGGCTATATATGACCGGAGCAGTTCCACACTCTGGCCTGTGTGGGGCTGCCAGGACATAAGTCTCTGCAGACCACGTGGGTGTGTCCATATCCTTCCTCCAGAGCCAGTCCCTGGTCCACCTTGCCCCTCTCTCCTTCCCCCCACTGCACCCATTCTCTCAAGCCCCACCCACTCAGGGTTGTGAGGCAGAGTAGGCTGTTGTGTAGCTCTGCTGCTCCACAACTATCTGCCACTGCAGATAGTGAAGGAGGGCCCGACCTCTGCTGCCAGCACTAACCTAACCATGGCCCTATGGATTAACTTGAGTATGCGGGAGCATCCCATCCATAGCTTGGAGTCCATCAAAGCATGGGGCTCTAGGTGACCGCCCTGAACCATCCTATGGATGGGATGGTCCCCCACCTGCCCTTGGCCACAGAGACATGCAAGCAAAGGCATAGAGCTGGAAGCTGCTTCAGTCCCGTTGCACTGTTGGTAATGATAGTAGCTCTTGGGGCCTTTTACATTGCCTGGGAGCAACAGATGGGGCTGGGGTATGCACTCCCTAATCTAGGACTGACGATCTCCCTGACCCAAAAAAATGAGTGAGGGGAAAGTGCAGTTTGTTGCATTTCTCATTCTGGCTGGGGAACATGGGGGCAGATGAACAAGGACCTGCCCAGCTGGGAGGAAACATGCATCCTCCTCCTCCCCTCATGCCTGCTGGAGCTGCTGTGGCCATGGATAGGCATATCTCACCTAAGGAAACTTGCATAGTGAACTCTCCAACACCAGCCCTAGCTCAGAGAAATTATTTAAATGAAGTAAAACAAAAATTGAGTTAAGGACCTGAGCAACGACAGATAAATTTTCTAGTAACTAATCAACAGTCTTTTGAGGAGCCAAAAACACTAGTATGCACCATCAAAAAAATCACTATATGCAAAGTGCTGCCCAATAAAGAAAATAAATTGAAATACAGAGGGAATTATTTCCCTCTTCTAATCTCTTTCAGTTATAACAACAGTCTGGTTTACTTATAAACCTAGATGGTAAAATAGTTTACATATGTAAACATGGTTTTTCAGTTGGTAATGTCCATATTTGAGGCACAAGCGGGAATTTGGTAGGGTGGCTAGCAGCTCTGTCACTATCCATTAATCACTCCACTCATATTACAGGGAAAAACGTAAAGGCTTCACTTTGTCCACGGCAGATATAATGACCAGTCTCTTTGCTGCTTCGTGAAGATGTTCCCCTAACTGTCACAGATCAATACAAGATCGGACAAGCTTTTTAGATTATGAAGTTAACACATATTTCAAGGGACAATTCAAAGCAAAGTGGACCATTCACATCATTCATGGGGGCGGGGGGGGGAGGAAGGGCAGTGACAGTAGTGAAAGCGGGGGGAAATCCATGATTTTTAGTGTCTAGCCAAGTTATGAATTAAGTTCTCCAGCTTGTCTTTTGAAAGCGTTGTATAGGTTTCCTTTGAGGATGAGGACTGATAGGTCAGATATAGAGTGATGACATTTCAAAAAGTGTTCACCAATAGGTAATATGGCGTTTTTGTCTTATCTTACAGTGTGAATTCATTCAAGACCACAGTGATTGCCTGGTTTCACCACTGGACAATCAAGATGCTAAAGGAGAACTCAAGGACAATAAGATCATTGCAAAGAAACTAAATTTGCATTGGTCTTCATGGATGACAATGTGAGGGAGATTCCCAAATATCATCCATTCTTTTATGTGACAAATCTGAGGAACTGTGCCAGACTGCAGTGTCAGAGAAAATTTTGGAACAATTTGATAAGCTAAACAATACTAAGTCACCCGGACCAGATACTATTCATCCAAGAGTTTTGAAAGGAATCAAATGTGAAACTGCAGAATTACTAACTGTGATCTGTAACCTAATCCTTTAAATCAGCTTCTATACCAAAATGACTGAGGTACAACTAATGTAACACCAATTTTTAAAAGTGCTCTAGAGATGATCCTGGCAATTACAGGCCAGTAAGTCTAACTTCTGTACTGAGCAAAATGGTTGTGACTGTAGTAAAAACCAGAATCATCATATACCTAGATTAACATAATTTATTGAGGAAGAGTCCACATGTTTTTAGTGAAGAGTCTATCAGTATGCTTTTGAGGAGGTGAACAAGCATGCGGACAAGGGGGATCCAGTGGATATAGTATACTTAGATTTCCAGAAAGCCTTTGACAAGATTCCTCACCAAAAGCTCTTTAGCTAAGTAAGTGCTCATGGGATAAGAGGAAAGGTCCTCTAATAGGTTGGTAATTGGTTAAAACAGAAGTTCAATAAGTGGCTCACAGGACGGCCACCAGCACTTTATTTACCTGCACATCCACATAGTATGGCTTCTTGCAGCTCCCGTTGGCCACGGACTGCTGTTCCTGGCCAACAGAAGTGGCAGCCCAGATACTCAGGTAAATAAAGCGCTAGCAGACCTCCAGGAGCTAACCCTGGCAAACCACATATGACCCAAGGGCCATGTTTTGCCTACCACTAGATTAAAAGATAGGAAACAAAGGAAGGGTAAATAAACAGTCAGCTTTCAGAATGGAGAGAGGTAACTAATTGTCTCCCCCAGTGGTCTGTACTGGAACCCATACTATTCAACATTCATAAATGATCTGGACAAAGGGTTAAATCAACAAGGAAGCAACATTTTTCAGATGACATGAAACTACTGAAGGCAGTTAAATCCAAACCAGACTTGTAAAGAGCTCTCACAAAAAGGATCTCACAAACCAGGTGACTGGGCAACAAAAGGGCAGACAAAATTCAATGTTGATAAATGCAAAGTACTGTATATTGGAAAATATAATTCCAACTATATGTACAAAATGATGGAATCTAAATTAGCTGTTACCACACAAGAGAGATCTTTAAGTCATTGTGGGTAGTTCTCTCAAAACATTCACTCAATGTGCAGTGGCAATCAAAAAAACAAAACAATGTTGGGAATCATTACAAAAAAGGATAGATAAGATAACCAATATTGCCTCTACATCAGTGGTTCTCAAGCTGTGGGCCACAGACCACTAGTTAAAATCCCAAGCCTTGCCGCTAGATGCAGCTCATGGGAAGCAGTATGAGAGAGGGGTGGGGAGGAGAGAGGGAGGCAGAGGGGAGGACACCAAGCAGCTCTTGTGCACTGCTATTCCTTCTGTCTCCGGCTAGGAGAATAACAGCACACAGGCATGCTGCCTGGAGGCATTCCCCATGGTGCCCATTGGCTAGAATCATGGCCAATGGGAGTAGCGGAGGCGATACTTAAGAGGTAGTGCCTGAGGGCAGCGGGGAGCGTAAAGCCTTTTCACCCATCTCATGTCCAGACCCTGTACCCCATCCCCCTCACGCACCAACCCCACCTGAGACCCCCTGCTCCCGTAACCCGCTGTTGTATCTTCCCTTGTTCCTGCACCCTTCCTCCTGGCAGATACTTCATCCTTCCTTGCTCCTGCACCCTCCTTTCCAGCCACACCTTGCACCCTCACTCCCTGTTGCACCCAAACTCCTGGCCAGATCCCCTTGCCTAGCCCGCTCCAGCATCCCACTTCTTACCTACAACCCACCTCTTGCATCCCTCTCCCACTCCCTGGCAGTCCCTTTCCACACAATGAACCTCTCATTCCGGCTCCACCCCAGAGCTATGGGGAGCTCACAAAATCTAATAACTCTGGGATCTGTGGGAAGCCCTGAATTTTGGTCCTCTCGGCTATCCGCTGCCCCCATGAAGCTGGAGCACCAGGGGTAGTGAGGTGTGTCAGCTGGGGGGGAGGGGAGGGATTTGCCTCCTACTTTTGTGTGGCTCCTCACTGATTTTTCTGTGGATCAGTGGCCCCCAACCCAAAAAAGGCTCTCCGCCCCTGCCATAAATAAAGTCAATGTTGAAACCTTTTGTTTTGGACATAAATTAATATTTTACTTTATTTATTTAAAATGAAATTTGGTAAACTAACATGATAAAGTTAAAGTGCTTACTCTGTTTAATGATTTTAATTTTGATTAATATTTCTTTCTTACTGGATACATATGCTCCCTTATGTTATAGCTGCATATTTAAGTTTTATGCTCCTGTGGGCTAATAGGAATAATTTAGTATTTAAGGTATTTAGAGATAAGCAAAGGCATTTTGTCATCATGGGGTGGTCCACGGAGAGGTATGCATTGAGTGGGGTGAGCTCTACATAAATCCACGGTATGCCCACATCTTTAAAACTCTGTGCAGATGTGGTTATTTCATCTAAAAAAAAAAGATCTATTGGAATTGTAAAAAATTCAGAAAATGGCAATAAAAATTATTTGGGATATGAAATGACTGCCTTATGAGGCGAGATTAATAAGACTAGGACTCTGGAGCTTGGCAAAGAGAGAACTGGGGGGGCGGGGAGGGAAATATAACAGAGGTCTATAAAATCATGCCTGGTGTGACGAATGTGAATAAAGAGGAATTTACTACTTCCCAT